TGCTTAATCAAAAAACAATAAAAAATGTATAAAACTCTTAATGCTTTCTTATTTACTATTTATGTTTTTACATGTGTCTTAAGAGTGCTTTTTATATTATTTTTATATTTATGTTTCCCTTCCCCCCTCTTTTTCTAATCCCCATTCCCCACACCATTATACTTCTTCCCAGCCATAAAATTAGCTAATTGTTTTATATAGTTATATAATGATATTACCTTACAATAAATCTGAAAAATGATTTTTTTTAGACATTCATTAGAGATGGCCATCAGATTTTTAGTGGTATGTTAAGTGATTATTTTGATATAGAGGTATCTTTATGGTTGTAGGGAGTAGAGCCAAAGAAACCAAAAGAGGTAGGTAAGATTGGGCGGCTTCTATGTCATTTATTATTGGGATCTAGGATTGGTGAGTATTTTTTAGCCTTTTATGAATTTTTGGGCAAGACTTCCAAATTCCTCAATATCCTTGGTGTGTTTGGGGGACTTGTAATTTTTATATTTGTAGATTTTCTTTACATTTGCTCTTCTAGCTTACATATAGACTGATTTAGTTGTAAATTATTCTCATGCAGCCTTGCATTTTCTATCTGAAGTTTGTGATAAGTGTGAAATTTCGATTAGTACTAACACTGCAGTCATTACAAAACACTCTCCACCTTTCACCCCAACTATTTGTTCCTCTCTCTTTTAACCTTAGATTAGAAGATTGGTGTGCTTAGTGAAGATGTGAGGCAAAAATAACAGTGTTGTTGGGTGAAGCAAGACTTCCCATGGAAACATGGACTAAATAGTATTGTGGGGTGAAGGATGTCTCTGACTCTCAGCTTTTGGTTATATAAACGGAAGAAGGCTGGAACGTAACAGAGTTAGCACCCTTGAGAATTTTCCCTTTCAGATAATATAGGTTGATGGGAAGAGTGTCTCTTTAGGGTAGGGTTGGCCACATCTCCTTGTTTATCTCATGTTTTTTTCTAAGCCATTAGAAAACCATTACAGTTAGTATGGGCTTAAATCCCAAAGCAAATGTTGCTTTCAGTTAATTTTCTTTGACTTTGTTGGTCATTAAACACAAAACATAAAATTATCTTAATTTTCAGGCTTACTGACTCAAAATTATATATTCCTTAGACATGCTAATCAGTTTTCATTTTCTTATAAATAATTTAACCTTAGGCTTGAACATTGAGTATTAAAATGTAAAACTAGGAATATTAATTATCAAAATTGTTTGATCACTATATTTAACATTTTTAAGTAAAGAACAAAATTTTATGGGTAGGAGTATAAGTAAAGGAAGAGATAAGAATTGGGGGAAATTTTTAAATAATGATTGTGATTGATATTTAAAGTCAAATAGAATACGTTCATAGGAACATACAGATTTGTATTTCTTTTTTTTATTATTATTTTATTTTGAGACAGAGTCTCACTCTGTTGCCCGGGCTAGAGTGCCGTGGCGTCAGCCTAACTCACAGCAACCTCAAACTCCTGGGCTCAAGCGATCCTCCTGCCTCAGCCTCCTGGGTAGCTGGGACTACAGGCACGTGCCACCGTGCCTGGCTAATTTTTTCTATTTTTAGTTGTTTGGCTAATTTCTTTCTATCTTTAGTAGAGACGGGTCTCGCTCTTGCTCAGGCTGGTCTCAAACTCCTGAGCTCAAGCAATCCTCCTGCCTCGGCCTCCCAGAGTGCTAGGATTACAGGCATGAGCCACCGTGCCCGGCCTTGCGTTTCTTTATAAGTGTTTTTTGTTAATATTAAGTTCTACTTTTTGTTTGAATAGGAATATCGTTCAGGAAAATACATATTTGCATTTCTTTATAAGTGTTTTTTGTTAATATTAAGTTCCGCTTTTCTTTTTGTTTGAATAGGAATATCGTTCAGAAAAATCTCTTGAAGAATTGAGTAAACTTGTGCCACCAGAATGCCATTGGTATGAACCTTTTGTTTGGTATGGATTTCTATCCCTTTAAAAATAGAAATTGAGTGCAAGTATTAATAGTACAGTATACATTGTGGCTCCAGCTTTGTCTAAACATAAGGAAGAGACTATTAATCTCACATGAAAAATTTCTGGTTTAATCAATATAGCAAAATTACACAATTAAAAGTTCTGATTTTGAGATTCTTGAGACATGGATTTATTCAATAGATTGTTTTTTGTATGTGTATGTGCTAAGTGATAGTGATGCACAAACAGACCTGGGTGATTCAGAAGGTTGGTTCAGTTTTCATATTTTACATTTAAACAACTAATTGGTTTTTCCGATGATACTCTGTCATCTTAGCATTTTAGTTAACAAGGGCACAGAAACAGGCTTTCCTTTAGTTCTTACATTTGACTTACCTCCTTGGAAGTGGTAATAATAGAGTATGTTTTCCCTCAGGCAAGCCCACCAGAAATAACTTGTTATTAACCAGATAAGTGGCATGGCTTGCTTTTTCTTCAACTATGGTTGTTTCTGTTCCATGTTACAGTGTGCGTGAAGGAAAATTGGAGCATACACTTGCCCGAGATTTGGTTCCAGGTGATACAGTTTGCCTTTCTGTTGGGGACAGAGTTCCTGCTGACTTACGCTTGTTTGAGGTAAATTTGGGAATCTGTTTGTGAGAAGTGAAAATACTTGGATATTAATTAAAGAATAAACATTAATAGTTTTAAGGATTAACACATGGTTGATTTGAAACATTTGGTATTCTAGTTTAAATAGTGAGATATATAACCTTTTTTTTTCTTAAAATATATGTCTCTACTGTAGTCTTTTCAGGTGTATGTTTAGTCAGTTAGCAGAACTTTGTGGAAACCTGTGTATTAAGACTGAAAGACAAAGATGATATGATAGAATTCTGGATTAGTTAGTATACTATATGTGTATACAAATCACTCACCAAAAAATAAGGTATAGCTCAGTAATTGAGTAAGAGAAGTTCAAAGAATAGGGTATGGAAATTTAAAGAAGGGAGAGCTTCCAACTAATTTGGGTGAGCTCAGAGAATGCCTCAGACAGCTTTGGCATTTGAAGAATAGTAATGGACAGAGATGGGGAAGACAATGAAGCAACAGTATTCAAATCCCAGTATATGATATGGGGCTAGGGTATGTTAAGGATAGAAAATATATGATGGAATTAGTTTTAGGAGGACCTTGGATACTAAGTTTCACTTTTGATTTTATTGGTTAGGAATTAATTCTTGAGAGTCACGTGCAGCTGGCAAATGATGGTACCCTTAATCTGGCTACAATGTGTAGAATAGATTGAAGGCCTGGAAAATGGAGGTAGGCACTTAGTTTAAGAGGCTTCATAGTCAGCACGCCAGCATTATCCACTATTAGAATTGAGCTATTCATTAACACCTACAGAGCTGTCAGTCTTTAAATACTTACTATGGCCCAAAATGCTCATATAGAGGTTGTAGAAAGCCTGAAGAATTTTTCAAATTGTAATGAGAACAAACTTTACTTAATCTTTAAAAAGAGACCTTTTTTCCAAATACTTGAAATTATCCATAGAAAGATATTGGATTGCTTTAATTGGGTGAATAGGAGTAATTAGTATAATATAGCAAATGTTAGGAGCATTATTAATTTTACATTATATTCTTTTTTCTCCTTTTTGCATGTTTTTTTTTTTTTTTTTTTTTAGACAGAGTCTCACTCTTTTGCCCAGGCTAGAGTGCCGTGGCGTCAGCCTAGCTAACAGCAACCTCAAACTCCTGGGCTCAAGCGATCCTCCTGCCTCAGCCTCCCAAGTAGCTGGGACTACAGACATGTGCCACCATGCCCGGCTCATTTTTTCTATATGTTTTTTTAGTTGTCGGATTAATTTCTTTCTATTTTTAGTAGAGACGGGGTCTCACTCTTGCTCAGGCTGGTTTCGAATTCCTGAGCTCAAACAATCCGCCTGCCTCGGCCTCCCAGAGAGCTAGGATTACAGGTGTGAGCCACCGCGCCCGGCCCTTTTTGCATGTTTTTAATGTTAATTTTCAAAATTCTTCTTCCTTCCTTCTGTCCTTAATATTTAGTTTATGATAATACCTTGAATTATTCTTTCTCAGAGATTAGGTAGTCCTGTCATTTGGCATAAATCATCTTCTCCTCTTCCCCAAAGAACTCTAATTTGAATTCATGGAGTTTATGCCATCTTTTATTCTGGAGCGCTTCTCTTCCAATTCAGAAGCAGACTTCCTCAGTAGAATAATTAGAAGATGGTGTTTCCCATTGTTTGAACAACTTGAGCAGAATAATAACACAGAAACTTCAAAATGCCATTTGGCTTGGTAAAGTATTTTAGGGTTTTCATTTAAGGGTTAATTGATTTGAGAATTAATTATCTTAAAATTCATGTGCAAACAGGAGAAAAACCTGTCAGAGTATGGATTAGTATGTGTTTTATCCATTCAGCAAATACACAAAGACTTAACTTTGAGTTCAATAAGAATTATAAACATATGCCTTGTGAAGTAATTTGTTGTTATTGTTTTCCCCCTACTTGTTAACTTTTCAAACACTTCATCAGCATGTTTTATTCTGCATTGCCATAGTTAGAATGATTTTGTTCTGATTAATCCACTTTTACATATGTAGTTGAACATTTTTGATCCCCTCTACCTTAATTATGCCTATTTGTTTTGCCTACTACCTGGGACCCTAAACAGGCTTTTGCAACTACTTTGACAGTAGTTTAAGATAACTTTCTTAAAAGATTTGAGTCTTTTATCCTGCATCTATATTTAAATGTACTGACTTAAGATATAATATGGCTGATAAAGTCGATTTCTCTTCTGGACAAAGAAGCTGGTAGCTTTTTGGAATTAAATTGGCTTATTGGAGTTTTGTTTGCTGAGTTTGGCTGTGGTGATCTTTGGATGATTTTGTAAGCTGGCTGGTCATTTGATGTTACTACACAAAATAAATTCTTCATTAGGGTTTAAAGGAATCAGAAAACTCTTCAGTAAGCTTTGGGAAGTTATTAATTTCTCACAAAGCACATGCGTTTCACTTTATAGAAAGCAAGGGCCTGGACTTCTGCAATTTAGTTAGTTCTCTTTTGGTAGACTGGGCCCAATGCTCAGGTTGTCGCTTTAGTGTCATCATGGTGTGACTCTGTGGTTCCTGTTATAAATTTCATTGGTTTCACATTTTGGTTGTCAGCTTGCCTGGGCCCTCTTCAATTTCTTGTTAGCACATTTGGTGACCTGACTGCCATATAATATAACTATTATCAGGTATTATCTTTTCATAGGCTATATTTTGTTACAGCTCAAACTGCTATAACAAAACACCATATAGACGGAATGGCTGAAACAACAGACCTTTATTTATCACAGTTTTAGAGGCTGGAAGTCCAAGATCAAGGTCTGGCAGGGTTTGGTTTCTGGTGAGGGCTCTCTGCCTAGGTGCAGATGGATGCCTTCTTGCTGTGTCCTGACATGGCAGAGAGAGCAATTTCTCTATCTTCCTCTTGTAAGGTCACTAATGCCATTGTAAGGACCCCAGCTGTATGACCTCATCTACCCCTCATTACCTCCCAAGGTTCTATCTCCAAATAACATTACATTGGCTGGTTAGAGCTTCAGCATATGAATTTCAGGTATATATGGTTTAGACTATAATAGGCTGAGACTGCCATTTTCTAAATACTTTTTAAAGACTAATGTTGGTAATTTAAGTAATTGTGTATTATTTACCCTTGCCTGAGTCAGTTTTCTGTAAGCCAGTGGATGAGCTAATATAGTCACCCCTCAGTATCCACAGAGGATTGGTTCCAGGATCGCTGTGGTTCCTAAAAAAATCCCACAGATGTTCAAGTCTCTTACGTAAAATGGCATAGTATATGCATCGACTGGTGCCACTACCGCAAAATGTTGTATTGCAGAAATTAAAAGATGAAAAGCAAAAGCAAAGACAATTCTTTCAAGCAGCAGTAAGACCTGTAAATAATGCCACTGAAACAACTTATAAAGTAGCTTATACACTGGGGGAAAAAGGGAAGCCATGCAATGATGTAGAATTGTGAAAGAATGCATTGTTGAAGTTACAGATTGCTTAGACCCTGATAACATTTCAAAGTACAGACAACTGCCTCTTTCAAGGAGAACCATAACTGATCAGCAGCATGAATTGCCTTCAACTTAACAGAACAACTTCATGCAGTACTTCAAAAGGAAAATATATATTATTCAATTGCTCGGGATGAATCAACTGAGAATTACTGACTCGGGGCAGGTTTTATACTTCATTTGGGTCATAACCAGGTTTTCTTTGCTATGAAGAGTTACTTTGGGCACCCGTGGGAACAGAACATGGGGAATACGTATCTTTAGCAACTTTCAAGATAAATGTGAAGTTGGGCTGAATTTGGTAAATTTAGTGAGTGTATGTAAGTGACACTTTGCAACAGGTTATTAAGTATTGTTGACTGTATTCATGCAGATGCAACCATGGCATCGTTAGTTTCATAACATGCTAAAGCTGAATGATGAGGTATTCATTGTGGATTTGCTATATCATTCTAAAGTGGGTTGGCTATCTCAGGGACAGGTGTTAGCCAAAATTTCATCTCTGTGAGAATAGATAGTTAAATTTTATGAAGAACAGAATCAGCAATGCAAATTATTAGAAGGTTTCTTGGGAATGATACTAAAAGGAGTAAAATAAAAGGATTTCTATAGGAATGCAGCATTTCTGTGTGATATGTTAAATCAAAATGACTTGACTATTTCTTTGCAAGATAAAAAAAGTCTAAGTCTATATATGATATGTGACAAAAAATCCGAGCATTTTAAAAAAAGCTATCTTTTTTCAAAACACTTCTTCAAAAGGAAATTTTGGATGAACATTTCCGTTAGTTAGCAAAGGTCATTGATGAGCAGGATGAGATATGCGAATCACTTGAAGAATAATGCAGCTGTTATAGACCTGTTAATTGGAGAATACAATGCAAGGTTCACTGACTTTGAGAATCATGACATCACACTCAAATGAGCATTTCAGCCTCATCTAGTTGATATCACCAAGGCACCTAAAGAACTACAGATGGAATTGATTGAGCTCCTAGTAGATGACATTTTAAAGTCATTGTTTGATGCTAAGAAAGATCCAATAGAAATATGGAAAAATGCAGTAGAACACCCACACCTTTGGCAACATGCTTGAAAAATGCTTTCTTGCTTTTCAGCCACTTATTGCTGCAAATCTACATTCTCCTACCTAACCCAAATCAAGACACTCTTAAGGTCACAAATGACTGATACCCATCTAGAGCAGTGGTCCCCAACCTTTTTGGCCCGGGGACTGATTTCATGGAAGACAATTTTTCCATGGACTGGGGGTGGGGATAGGAGGTTGGGGCAGTGACAGAGATCTGTGGCCTGGTTCCTAATAGGCCATAGGAGTTGGGGAGTACAGATCTAGATCGTCAACTGAAACTGCAGACCTCTGTGCTGCAACCAAATATTCAAATGCTTTCCAACAAAAAGAACCAAGTCATTAAAAGATTAGTTAACTTTAAAATTAAGAAATAGTTTTTATTTTTTGAAATTATTAAGTACATACTAGTTAGATTTTTACAAAATAGTGTACGTTTT